TCAATAGCTGAATGAATTTCATTTTAAGACAAATCTGAAGGTAAGAAAATTATAAAACCATTTATATCAAACAACAATGACATCAAAAACATGTCTTTATAAGGAAAAATTGAGGGAAGTTACGAGGTAGTATCAGTTCTTAGATATAATGCTCAGCTGAGAACTGGATTTCTAAACTTGTTTAAGGAAGGTTAAATTTTAACTGTGGAAACATGGTTATTTTTCAGTTTGCCTTCAATTTTGTAAATGAAGGAAGGATGAATAAAGGAGGAAAGAAGTAAAGACTATCTGGCCAATCTTAGGAGAGACACAGGGGAAGAGCAAGGATGAGTTTTTTCTTTTTTGGTAAATCTATTACAGTAATGATTTTTCTATTTTGCACATTTGCTAATTTTACATTTAAAAATTTTTAAAGAATAAAATTGTACAGTGAGAATCAAGAAGCAGAAATAATGGTTATCCCTTACCAAACACTTGTACAGGCCAGGTCCCAAGATATACACACCAGTTATGGAAGAATATGTATGTCTGTTGGCTATACCTTTGTCTACTTCAAAAGACTTAACATTGTTATTCCTGAGTCACACTAAGGTATCCAAAATTGTTTTGAACCTTTTGACAGCATTTCTATTGAGAATACCAAACCATTCTACTGTTCTGCCTGTGGCTTTTGCTTTCTGTTTGACTCACTGCATTTTTATTCCTAAACCTCAGACTACCAACTGGTAAACTTGAATGAGTGAAGATCAGGTCAACATTGTAGATAAGCAGAGCAGACTATAAGCTTGATTTCAGAAGGAAGCCTGAAAGTTCATATAAAACCTTAGGAGGTTCTGGTTCTCTAACAATTCACTTTATTCTTTAAAAGAGAAGACAATATTTTATCTGAAATGTAAACTCAAAGGACACAAATTACATACCTGAACTAAATTTTAAGCCTAAAAACTATCAGTGAATAGCACATTTTTCTTATTTATTCTCCTACATATAATACATGATTTGGTAGGCAGCATCAATGAAACCCTTGTCTTCTATTTCTGCATCTGTCAGTATACAGCTTAACAAACAAGTGTTTTCTCAATTGGTATAATAATTTTTTCCCTTAAATTCTTTTATTGGTACATTTTAGGTATACAATACATTCACAAGCTGAGAATAAGTTAGACTCCTCTCTTCTGCAGTCTGTTAGCACCAGATCACCCACTTAACTTCTTGCATTGTATACATAAACTAAAGGCCAAAGAGAGTATGTTGTTCTCTTAAGCTTAAAAAGATAGCTAAGTGGCACTGGAGCTCCTTGATTTATTACTGAAGAGGTAAGTAAATGAATAAAAGACACACACTAAATTATATGTCTATAAAACACAAATACAAAATTCTTATTTTTTGTTAGTATTATAAGAGGTACAGAGAAAAGAGATTTATAGATAAATTAACAGTATCCTTGGATTTCACCTCTTATATGGTCAAGTATGTTTAATTTGATGAATGATGTATGATTAATCCATATATAAAAATTTAAAAATCACCAAATATAGATAAAAAACCTGTTATTTTCAAATCTGTTATTAATTAAGACGTTTGAAAGTCATAAATTTACCTTCAGCAAGATATAAAATTGTATAATGACCAAAGGAATATACTTACATATAAATTCAAAAGCCCATAATCTATATAAGTAAAGGATATAGTGGATAGTATCATTATTGAGTGAGAAAATGATTGCTGAGACCAGATGTATTTCATATATTCTCCCTAAAGTTTTTGAACTAAGAAAGTTGTGTATCATGTTCTCACAACATAAAATGCAAATAAGCAACTGAGAAATGTTTAAGCTTACTACTGATGTAGGAGAAATATAACTCTCAAACTGCTAGATGTTGGATGTGCCAAATTCTTGTTCCCTGAATATCAAAGAAAGAATTCCTAAAGACAACAGAAGTTAAGAGCAGGAAAGGTTTAGTGAGAGCTGTCACCCAAAAGACACAAGGGGATTCCAAAACTGGGTTGCCACCAAAACCCTTTGTCAAGAGTATACAGCAAAGTCACAATTGGGTCAAACTACAATCAACCTATAGGATTACAAGTATACTTGCTTAACCAATATTGATCCACAAGGGAAATGAGTCATGTAGCAAAGGTACATGGAAAGAACAAAGACATTTTTGGGAAGTGATGGGTCCAGATGCTGTAGTCACCTACCCTGGGCAACTGATGCCCATCTAGACTTACTGGATCCAGTGATGCTAATTACAGTGTAATTCCAAGTTATTGTTTATCCCTCAAGGAAGCATGTAGGCCTGGCTATTACATCTCTATCTTGAGATCTTGCCTTCTTCAGATTTGCCTACAGCCATGATTCTGATGTCTTTATTTTTGTGCTGACTTCCTTTAGAGTCCAGTCCTTCTCTGACTGTATATTAACTTCTATTTAACTTAACTGCCTATAATACTACTAACAATTTTAAAACTATTGTTATAAACGTTATTTCTTGTATCCAAATGTGTAAAAACTGAAAATATAAACACAGTGCTAGGAGAAAAACAGAAAGAAGCTCTGTCAAACTTGGGTAGTCACAATCTTAAAAGAGAGAGGGAGGGAGGAAGGGAGAGACTGTGAGACAGAGATTTGGCATTATGCATCAAGAACCTTAAAAAAAGTCCATTACCACTGACTTGTTCCTGTTCCTGTAATTATATGCTTAGAATCAAAGCATAGAGTCAATTATTTCTATAAAAGTGTATAGGTTTCAGTTTTACTTATTTTATAAGGAAAACTAGAAGTAATATAAATGATCAACCATGGAGAACTAGAGTTCTCCCATATGATAAAATTGTAGTTACCTATTTTTAAAACTGCTTTCATAAAATATTTCATGGCAGAGAAAAGTTACCGTGGTGTCATGTTAAATGTAATGGACCACACACTATAATTACAAACTGCACACACATAAATGTATGCAAATATTAAGGCATAATAAAAATTTTAAAAATCTTCTTAATCATTTGGATTAAAATAATTTCTAGCATGGTTTATAGTTTATTGCGAGTGAGTTACTTTTAAAGAATAAAGCATTATCAGGGAGAGAAAAACTCATAATGATCACCAAACTACAACATACAGTACTAGAATGTCCTCTTGCAAGTTTCATGACAGCCTTACCCACAAATCTGTCAAAGAAAGAAGAGTCTCTTTCTCTTTTCTACCTGTGGGGTATTACTCTGCTTCCTTATGCAAGAAGGGGCTTTACTCATTCAAGTGGTTGGCTTGTACACACAAATTTTAACTGAATATGGTATAGCTTCTATTTATAAATCACCTAAATTAAAAATATGAAAAATCTTATTGCAACAATATTCTTTTTCGAGCAATTATCTCCCTGTGTACCTAGGAGGCAGCCCATTTTCTTCAAAAGATTTTGCTGGTTATTAATGTAAAAGTGGCAGCTTAGCAGCAGGAAACAGGGAGGGCAATACTCATAGTCAAATAATATGATCATCTCTACATATTTTAATGTCATGTTTATCATGTTAATGGAACGTTTTAAAACACAGGCTGGCAGGGCTGCATTCTGACTTACAGAAAAAAGTTTTGAATTTTTCTTTTGAAAAACTGAAAAGTGGTTTTAATTACCTATTGCTATCAGAGTACATGAACCCTCATTTTTAGCACTTCCTAGTACCTTTCCTGAAATACCAGAAGCATCATCTTTGCTGCTCTTCTTACATTTTCAAAGCATTAGTCACACATAGCCATTCACCTTGCCAAAGGGAAGTTGAAATGTTCTATTTTAAGGCAGTATTATGCTACTTCTTGCCATAGTAGAGACTAAACACACAGTAAAGAAAAAATAAGTCTCCTTTTTTTCCTTCTCAAAAACAAGTTTGTTTTACAGGTGTTGTTAAGGCTTTAGGCTTCTTTCATTCAATATTTTAATTTAAAGTTACTAATGAATAGAAATATCATGTTAGGAATATTAATACCTGCTAATCATGAAATCATAGAGCATAAAGTATCTTTCAAATGTCATCTAATACAGATCCAAAAGCCAATTAGGGAATATACCTGTTTTTGCTTAAAAATATGAAAAAAAATTCTCTGACTATTCAATAGCCCATTTTGGCATTCTATTAAAAGTTCTTCAGGCTGGGGGATTTAGCTCAGTGACACCACGCCTATCTCATAAGCCCAAGATCCTGAGTTTGATCCCCTGTACTGGGGTGGGGTGGGGGGGATTCTTCCTGTTACCACAGCTAATTCCCAACTATTGCCATATGAACTTATTTGTCAACCTTGGAGAATATGTTCTGAAGCTAAATTATTTTATTCTATCCATCTCACCAGGTTACTCTGCAGACTAAACAGACTCAGATTCTCCAACTTTGACCTTAGCCTCTAAACTATAATTCAAGTCTAGTCACTTTTTTTTCCTTTTTTCTAATGCACCATCTCTATATTTTCTTTCTTTACTGGTATTCCCTAGAATTAGAAATAATCGAATGCAAAATTAGCTACATGATTCACTTTGGGTGCATGAGTGTATGCGGTGCCTCAATGTTAATACATGGAAGACAAATACATGGAAGAAGTGAATGGAAAAGTGAAGTGAATGGAAAAAATATTTGAAGAATATAATAGATGGGCTATATATCCTAGGAATAAATGGTGCCTATAAATTATTATTCTATTCCTAACATTAGAATCATATTTTAAATTTAATTTAGAACTTATTGATGTGATTAAGTTTACATTTTATGCTCTAAAACATGAATTTACATCTTAAGATTAACTAATATTATACTATATTAGATATGTCATCTCACTTATTTTGGCTCCCTCTTTGATCACTAACTTAAAGTAATTGGTATTTTCAATAGTTTCATCACATTAAAACATATCCAGACTGGGTGGACAGCATTGAAATAGGTCAGGAAGAAGTCACAAAGAGGGTGGTGCTGGGCAGGCAAGATGCTTAGGGGGCACTGTCTGGGAGCCTCACCTGATATCTGTGCATGCTATGCAAGTGATGTCCCGGCTGTTGGTTGTTATTAGATTCAAAGCCACTGATTTGTCCTGGTCAGAGGTTGGGTGTGCTCCACACTTAAAGAAAAATTCCTGAAAGAATGAGAAACACAATCAGGCCAACGGATCCCAATTTCCTTATCTAGAGGCCAATTTCCCTTATCTAGATATATTGATCGTAAATGATCTCTGTACAAGAGAAAAAATCTGTCATTTGTTGTGAATTAGGAATAAATCAGCCTCATATTTTACCGGAAAAGAAAGCCCGTGCCTGGGGCCAAACTAGTCAACAATTCCGTTACAGGGAAGGTACTGAGTTTTTTTCACTGCTGTGAGTTGGGAGCATGGGAAACACTCTGTGCCCCCTCCTTCATCCATGCCCCTTGAGAATAAGTGAGTCTGGAAAAAAAAAAAAAAAAAGAGAGAAGGTAGAAGCAAGAGATAACCTAAAGCAATCTCTCACACATGAAGAAAGGGTGACTCTGGGGCCTGAAATGAATTGTCCACAGTCACGCAATAAGAAGTAAAGCCAAGAACTGCACTTGAGTCCGGAAAGGCAGTTAGTCCTTTAGCAGCAAGATGTAAAACACGGGAAGGATCTAGAGAGGTTTGTGTAATCATAGACACAAAAATATATGAACTTTGGTCAGGGACTCCGTCGTAGAACACTGTGGCTTTCTCCTGTCTAATTTAGAACCAGCCCTTTCTGCCTTATTTAGCGTCCCAGAATTCCCTGAGAGGCAGTTCTGCCCAGGCTACCTGCAAGACAAATGGAAATATTTCATAAGCACCCCTGTTTCTGAGTTCCTTCCCCAACCACATCCTGCAACATGTATCTTTATTTTAACTTTTCACATTGTTTTGACTGATCATTTTGTTTCTTCTCAACAAAAAAAAAAAATTTTTTTTTTACTTTTCTTCATTTTCTGCTTTTCTAATTTCCATGTTTTTTCTCACATCCTTTCTTTTCATTCACACAGCAGGATGTTTGGCCAGTCATTGCTAGACTTCTCAAGTAATCTACATTTTCCATGACACCAACATCCAGGAAGCCAAACTTCCTGCTACTGCAAAACATCTATGCAACAATGTTTCGGACCAGCAGAGGAACCCCGCATTCCACATTATCTCCTAACTTGGCTTGAGTATAACTACTTGGAACATACAGAGTATTTTCCCTTTTTACTGTACACGTGAAGTTGGCAAACTTCTGTGGAAAGTTCCAGATGTGAATATTAAACGTTTTTGGTTTTGTGCACTATAAAGTTTTGTTCCTCTTATCAACTGGGCGCTGGAGCTTAAAAACAGCCATAAAGGACATTCAAATAAGCAGGCATGGCTATTTTTATTTTTATTTATTTATTTATTTATTTAGGTACCGGGGATCGAACTCGGGGCCTTGAGCTTGCAAGGCAGGCGCCGGAACCACTGAGCTAAATTCCCGGCCCAAAGAAATCTTTTTTTCTTTTTTGGTACCGCGGATTGATTGAACTTGGGTCCTTGCGCTCTCGCAGCAGGAGGCGAAACCACTAAACTAAATCTCCGGCCCAGCATGGCTATTTTTAAAATGTGTAGTAAATTGGATTTTGCCTGCAAGACATAGCTAAGCCATCCTCAGAAATTTGTAGAATGATTTATTCATATTTTCTTTCTAACAGTACCTGGCATGATATACACATTAGATATATTTTCTTAAATGAGAATTTACAATACTTGGTTAGCAAATGTCATTGTTGACAGCACCACTGGATTTGCTCTCTCCCCAGCTATCTCCATTCTCCTCTAATATACCATGCTGTTTGCAGCAGCTGTGTGTCTGCAACTCTGGGGCACATCAGAATCACTTGGGGTGCAGTGGGGGTGAGGTATAGGCTCTCTTAATCTAGAGATGGCTGGACTCACTTCCTGGTTTTCTAAATTCTGGGGTGAGGGCAAGGATTTGTGTTTCTAACAAGTTTCCAGGTGATGCTCTAGGAACTGCACTTGAGAACCAAAGAGTCATTCCAACAGCAATGGAAAGTACGCACTACATATTCTCTTAGTGGGCTACAGTTACACAGAACTTTCTTACTGCCTCTGAAAATAATGCCATGTCCCAGGCATATATAGTACTTTAAAAATCTGGAGGGTGCCAATTTATAGTGATATATCTTAAAGCCAGGTGTTTGCAGGCAAGGCTGTTCTTCACTACATGTCTCTTAACCAATCTCAGATGGTATAACTGCCATTTCACTGGAACCCATCCTACCTGAGAAGTGGTATATTAGCTGACCCTCTTACTTGCATTCTTCAGCCTAGGCTTGTTTCTAGCCTTTCTAGAACAAATGGGGAGCCTAGGGTGTGTGATGGAGCCCAGGTTCAGGCATGTGAATGGATTCCTGCCTGTAAGCCCAGGCCTTTTCCTGCAGCAGCATGGAAACCACACTAGCTCACTGGGGTTTTTTTGCTTTTTTTTTTTTCTGAACATGGCATGCCATCCCCTTCACCGAATCTTTTGAGATGGTATAAATTCTTCAAAGGCTAATTTAAGGATATTGAGAAAAAGATTTAAAAATTCCTGACCATAAAACAAGTTTGGGGCACATGACCAAACCTTATGGTATACATCAAACTAGCAACTGCTTTTTGCAGAGAAAAACACCCTCATTTGTAACATAAGTAATTCCTTCAAAAGAGCTGAGTTTGCTGGACCATTGTGAAGGTACAGATAAATAGCCAGTATTTATATTTTTTCTTAGCTTGCAAGGAACTATTGATAGACATTTAGCCAACAGATCACAAATTGTTCTAACCCTAGATAAAATTCAGCCAGATAAAAGTTGAAATCCTTTTTATTTGGGATGGAAGCTTATAGCTAATGGTATAAGAAGCTACAGATATCTGGCAAGTTCTAGTAATCTATACAGTGTGACAAAATTAGAGCACAAAATACCAACCCTGCATATTAACTATGGATGTCTCATCAGTGAATTTCAGTGCATTATCAGTCAATTTTTAAGAAAGGAGATTTCTCTATAGTACCAGAGTAACTGGTAGGAACACTGAAGAGCCCAAGATTTTGCCCAGCTTGCAAGCTACTTAGTTGGCTATATTATCATGGATGCTAGGGAAAGATGAAGGACTTGGATTGGAGACAAAGAACTGTATAATTTAGCTCAGGCAAAAAGACGTGCTAGCATCATGACTCGCCAGTTTCTATGACATCCATGGAGGGAAGGGTTGGCTGAGCTCAGTGCTACATGTGAATTGATTTGATGTCACAGCTTAGGAACCTGAATTTAGAAACCTCATATCTTTTGTTTTGAAGGGAGATTTTTGTCTTTACTATACTGGATAATAAACAAATGTCCCTTTTATTCTGGAGAGAGATTATCTTTCTTCTCCAAGGTCATTAGCTTTTCCTTAAAAAGATGGATCCAGAACAAAAAGTAGTTAGCAGCTCCCTTATGAGATAAGCAGAAACATAAGAGACTTGTGGAGAACTGTTTCTGTGTAGTAAAAATGTCTTTTTAAAGAGGATATTTAGAGCAGTCTAGTCATTTCCTTTCCTGTACAATCAATGGGCTAAGATTTCCCAAGCTTCTTTTGATTTTGCTGAAATATATTCAAAACCAAACTCAACCAGGGTTGGCAGTGTAGTTCAGTGGTAGAGCACTTACTAGCATGTGTGAGACCCTGCCAAAAAAATACAAAACAGCAAGAAAGAAATCACCACCCCACCCCCCCAAAAAACCCCTCAGAAGTTAGAAGAGATTTTAGAGACTTTATTCAACCTTGGGCATTTCAGAGAGCTTGCTAACAGAAGGGTGTCATCTCCCAGAAAATTGCAGGATCTTTTGGGACTGTGAATTCAAGTTTTCTTTGTTTTCTTCTCTAGATTGTTATGTTTTAAAAAAATCAATAAAGCCAAAGCAAGGAAAATCTTCAGCTAGAGTCTAAGGAGGTGGGTTGGCAAGCTGACACCACTATGAGGTCCTGGCATTAGGGGCCCTAGCAAGTGGGCCAGGAAAATCTCTAGCTATGCTGAAGGACTGCAGGGAAACCCCAAGGCCTGACTGCCCAAAGTAGCATTGTTTCTGGTTTCAGGGGGTGTCAGAGGTTAGCCAGCAACAATGCTTCCGAGTCAGTAGGGAAACAGTGCCCTATGAGTATAGTATGAGAATGTTTTAGCTCATTAGAGAGGACAGCTGTCAATTCCAGGAACGCCCATACAGAATCTCTGACTGTGGAGAAACAAAGAGTCTGAAAGGGACTCAGCCCACCTCTTAAAAAACATCAGCTCACGGATAAATCAGCTAAAAAAAGAAAAAAAATCCTGTTAATTTAAGTGAAGTCTTCTATCTAAGTAGGACCTTTAGTTCCCACTGGCTGGTTTATTCCATTTGAATCCATCTACTCACTTCTGGAAAGATTCCATTAGGCACAGAGATAACAATCTATGATAGTAACTGGTTTTGTTTTCAAATGATAGCCTAAATTATTTTTAAAACCCTGAAAAAAACAAGACCTTAAAAACCCATATAGCTTTTTATTGCAACACTGTTAAATACTATGTGTTTTCCACTTTAGTAGTATTAAATAAAAAAATCTAAAATCCAACAAAGTTGTATTCCTCAAATCATTAAATACATGCTCACACATTTACCACTTCCTTGTGTGAGGTCCTGCTCTCCCGGAGTTTTGTATTTGTCATCACTTGCCTGACTTCTCATTGCAGATCACAGAGGCCTGGTCCTTTGGTCAAGTCATAGCTACACAAACCGAAGCAGAGAGAGCTGGATGTGCTGCACTTCACTGTCTGCAGCGGCTACTCTCCCTCTCCTTCATCACAACACATGAGTAGTGTCCCCCACAGAGAGAAGCAGCCATAGAACACTGGAACATGCACACTGGAACCAGTCTGAATGCCTGAAAGTTAGATCAGTACCAGGGTCCCAACTGTGTAAAAACTTACATGATTGGAGGCTAATCAGTCAATATCAAATACCAAATTTCAAATTACTCTAACAATAGCCAATAAGGGCTAGAATCCTTGCTTGTCCCAGTACAGTCCAGTCTAGTCACACACACACACCCATATGGGGATGAAACTT